CGATATTTTCTACGTATCATCTATAAGCAAGTCTTGCTCGATGATACAACGAAAGACAAAGAAGCACGAAAATGGAATGCTGGAAAATAATATAAGTCAAAACAAAATTGCTGTGTCATTAGTAGCGGTACTACTAGGCTACCCGGAAGTAAAAAGGACTCGGGATCCGGGACCAGCGTGAAGGACAAGGATAGAGAGATGGCCAAAGCCATTAATGCAGAATTTTCCGATGACGATGACGAGGAAGATGATAATAAGAGTAATTGGGACGACGAAGAAAAGGTAATTCAGCAGTGGCGTTAGACAAGCTTATCGTTCATAATCCTGGTTTTAAATATATTATGTAACGCGATTGTTACAAATATGTATAATATAAAAATTAGGAATCACAAAGGACACACGTCTATTACATACATTGTTAAAATTTAATTTGCATGAATTAATTTTAATTGTTAGTGCTCGTATTAAAATCGCATGATCGAATATCTAGCATTGAATTCTTAATGATGGACTCGCTGACAGTTTGCTCATATAATATTTAATAGCATATTAAATATATATTTTATATAATGGTTTTAAATATAATGACAATACACATTCTCTTACATGTTTGAATAATTTTATGATATTTATTGTGCATCGACATTGTGCAGCCACATGAACGCGATGAAGAGGACATGGAAGAGGAAGATGAGAAGAAGAAAAAAGAGGATAAACGTAAAAAGGAAAAGCAAGATAGAGAAAGGCAACATACCGAAGATGAGGAAGAAAAGGATGATGATATTAAAGAAGATGACGATCAGAAGCGAGAAGTGAGTTGTTTCAGCCCTATTATTACTACATAAAATGAGGCTCGAAAGAATCAATCAATGACAAATATAAAAAAAGCCCATCAGAGCCTACATTAGTTGTTCGGATGCACAGAAAACTCTTTATTTACATGTGAATGTAACAAAACGAATCAAATAAACGTTTCGACTGTCAAAAATGTCAAGATATTAGACGAAGAAAGGGTGTTCAATAAAAGACTGATTTCGGAAATGATCCATATAAAGCAACAGAAGCAGAGTTTGAATCTACAGAATGATACGTATTCTTTAGACCCATTATATATGAATTTGTTTACGAAATTGTGACTGTTTTTCCTTCCTTTGTTCTTATTTTTATTTTTATTTTAATAACTACATGTCTTTATTATTTTGACTCTCATTTCATCTCTAACTGTCGACACCACAAGATCTTTACGTCGAGTCGCGAAAAACGCTTACATGTAAGTTAATAAAATTAAAATTCAGATAAATGATTTTAGTAATTCTCTAATTTTTTGTTTTTCGTTTTTCTTTTGAATTTAGTCTTTGATTACATAGCAAATCTGACAATCTGATGAGCGTTATGATTCAACTTACTGCCGCAATGCATAGATTTTTCTTTATGTAAGTTTTTATATTATTATTGTATAAGTTAATATTTCTGATAATCATGTGGCTATTCATTACATAGCTAAGTTGGCATTTGGATAAAGAAGAACGAGCTATATTGTCGGGAATCACTATCACGGAATTTGCGTTATTTATTGCGTAATTTCGATTTAGATTTTATATTGATAAGGACCCAAATTGAAGGGTCGAAACATTTATTTGATTCGTTTTGTTACATTCACACGAAAATAAAGAGTTTTCTGTGCATTTGAACAACCTGTAGACTCTGATGGGCTTTTTAATATTTGTCACCTATTACTATTAAAATGGATATACTATTGTTGTCGTTATTATTATTTTATTGGTTCTATTTTATTGAATTTGTAGGAGGATGAAGATGGTGATGATGAGGAACGTGATGAAAATGAAAAAGAGGAACGTGATAGAAATGCAGATTCCGAAGAATTGCCAAGTAGACGGGACGGTAGAAAGTTCATAAAATTGAAATGTCCGCATTGCGCCCATCACAGCGTTACGTTCAAAGAATATTCGCTCCATCTATTCTCTGGACGTCATAGCGCGGCGATGAAACGAATTGCAGCTCGACATAAGGTCACTCTTACACGTATGCGAGTTGTTCAACGGCAAGAGCAAAGACGTATCGAAGCTCGTGATGCAGCACGCGGCACTCTACCTTCTCGCACTATGTTCTGTGCTATTTGCAAATTAAATTACCGTTCCTTAAAAGCTGCCCATCAACTGTCTGAATCTCATCGCCAAATGAAACGATTCCTCACACCATTCTGTCGTGTTTGTCGTATCCAATTCCGATCACCAATGTTCTTTGAGACACATATGTGTTCCCTAGAACACATCAAGGTAACTCTTAATATTTTGATAATTATTGTTACTGATTTTTTTATTGGTACAATAATAAGACTAATATAAATCGATTGTTCTTTTCTCTTTTGTCAGAGAAAGAGCATACTGAGAGAAAGAATGAATGCAAATGGAAGCGGCGAAGCAGAGGCAGATTCGAGCGCGCCGGAAGAAGATGATAAGGAAGTCAATCTTGATAATTTTATGACTTTGGATTCTGTAGGCGATGTAGATGGTATGTAACAAAAATGTACGAAATATAATCCTAATTTGTCGAAGCATCTTCTTCATAGTTAAATCTAATATCACTTTGTCTTATGTTACACCATTATTGTTTACAGAAGACGAGGAGACTAACGACAAGAAGAAAGAAAAAGCTGAGGGTGAAAGTTCAAGCGAAGCGGAGAAAAAATCAAAGGGCAAACAGATGATAAAAGTTGGTGCGGAATACATAAAACGTGTCGAAGTACAATACTGCGAGTTATGTAAAGTATATCTGCCACGCAGCGAAAATACAGAGCGAGCAGTCGCTTTACATTGTTCCACTCGCAGTCATCTTAAACGGTATATCATCACTGTTCAGCAGGATAAGATAATCGGTAGGTAAACTATTAGTGGTATTTACAATATCGTATGTGTTGCAGGTATGTGCGAGATAATGATGATAAGGCGCTTAGACGTCAAGCGGAAAGAATACATCTGCAATCGTCATCTTCAACGAATGTGAATTCTACCAATTCCACCGTGACTAATAATACATCGGATAATGCAAAGACTTCTCCTATCAGTTCCGAGCCACAAGTATCTGCTACACCAGTATCTACTGCGGCTGATAATAACAGCGTTTGCGGCACAGAATATATTAAAATTGAAGAAGAAAAATCTAATAGTTTAGAATCTGAAAAGAATGTGAAAGACAGTAAGAATAATCAGGGGGATGAAGATGACGACGACTACCGTGCGCATGGTAGCGATAAAATGATTTGGGATGATGTCGACAAGGATTTAGGCGACATTTTAAGAGAGAACGAGGCGGGAGCATCAAAATCGAGTGATGATGAAGATTCGCGTTACGATCGTTTTCGTAATTCGGACAAGAAACAGCCCGGAAAAGAAAAAGAAACTGAGAAGAGCGAGATCCTCGAAGATAAAAGCGGTAATAATAAAATTAAAGATGTAAAAAATTAAAATCGAAAAGACAGATGTCTTTCGAGCTTAATATTATCGTCGAAAATTGTCTTTTGCTATACATTTTCCATTTATTTGATTCATTTTCTGTTATGTCCGTTTCACTTTCTTCCAAATCTCGTACAATTGATTGTTCTTATAAAATCATGCAAATATACATTTTTTCAAGATATATTTTCTTTAATTGGATAAAAACAATTTCTGTGCATAATGTGCTACACGTGCGAAATATTTAATCATTATTACATGTTTCATTTTTACATTTGTATTGTATCTTCTTCAGTTGAAAACATAATATGTATCAATTATAATATAATCTAAATCTTGCAATTTTCAACTTATGTAATTTTAATATAAATATATATATACATGCATACATATATAAGTACTGTATCATTAATATCATATATTGCCGAAGGACTGTCATTGACCATTGTCGAAACATAATTATATATATATATATATATATATATATACACACAATATGTGAAATAATAAAATACACAATTTCAATTTTCAGTTATTAGCTTGGAGGAAAGCGACTGAGCAATGTGTGCATCTCATGTAAGCACAATTTAAATATAGATTATTGATCACGTAATAAATTCTGCACTCTAGGATTATATGATTTTTTGCCAATACTTGAATTAGATCGTAATTTCATATGTGTGACTGTTATCGATTACTTTAGTAAATACTTTGCTGATAAAAATCTTAGAATAATACTAATATTCTCTAATACAATATTAGAAATATCAATTTCTCGTTCACTTGATATAAATAAATTTCTTTGTATCTAAGAAGCATTTTTGTCTGTAATTAGTACGACTAACAATGTAGCTCTACCTTATTTGCAAATAAACGGAAAGCCAGATACTCCTTGTAAAGTCTTTATCGTTTTTATCCCTACCCAGCCCGTGTATTCTGTAACTTGTTATGCAGTCGTGAACACATAACGATTGCCTAACAAGTTACAGAATACAGAGGTGGACAGTTATTAGAATGATTTTTAATGAAAGTGATTTTTAGTTTGGTAATGTTTGACGTAATGTTACAATTGTATATATTTTTTTGTAGTACATAATGAAAGAATATTTTCGTACTTACAACTTGGATGATTTTAGAAGAGAAGTATTTTGAATAAAAGTTACTTTGTTCTTAACGCAAAGCATTTGAAATTTAAATATTCCCCTAACCAAGAAATTGAGGTGAATTCAATTGTAACATCTAAGAGAACGACAAAATTATGTATTTTTATTATTTGGTGGTTCCTACAATATTAAAATCTAACATTTTGTATGATTTATCCTACATATATATTGCACATTATTAACATCGTCATAGTAGAATATTTTAAGAATTTAATAAATTAACAATTGTCATGAGCGCGTTAAAGAAAGAGAAAAACAACTAGCGTAGCATTTCGATATCGTGAAACCGATTGCATATGCAATGACGTAGTCCACGCATGCGCGCAGAATCAGTTCGGAGAATTTTTACTTTCCAATGCTTGGCATGCTTTGGCATGCTTGGCACATGATGGCACATGGATTCGATGGATCCGATGGATCAGTCGTGATTCGTCAGGGAATTAAAGTCGAGCTGTCGCCTTAAGTCGGACACAGTCGGACAGTGTGCGAGGGGCAAGATTGACCTGCCGTGTTTCGTTAAAATTCATCACTTTGGTGTTGATTGTAGTGAATAGTGAAGCCAGCTTAGCCAGCTCTTATCGCGGTGTTTATAAGAACGGACGAATTGTGCGTTTGCGCAGACGTATTACGATCCGAGGTACGCGTCCGTGGATACGCGTTCCAACGTGGTCTCTCAAACTTGATTTTCGGCTGCGTCCTGAATAAAAAAAACACTTGTGTACCCGTGCGAGCGATTTGATGCCTCACATTGGATAATGGCACTGATGCGGGGATTACGATCGTCTTTTGTCTTAGGAACGAATTACGCATTCACGTACATGTCTAGTCAAGTTGTCCCCGCGAGAACTGTGTCTCTCATGCAACCGCTCTTTAAGAATAAAGAGTAAGTAAACAAAATTGGAACAATGATCGTTCTCTCGAACAGGAGAACGTTTGGAACTTTTAAGTAACTTTGTCCAAGTTCGGATTAATTTAATTGATGCCCAGTTCACTCGAATTGTTTACAAACTTGTACATACAATTCATCATTCCTAATCTAATTTCTTCTCACTTGTCAGATAACAAATAGTGATAATTCTGTTCACGTTAGAGCACTAAGTTACATTTGACAAGTTAATTGCCGATAATTAGAGTTTGGTCAAAGTAGTTAAAGTTCTTTATATACTCAGTCGCTTTCTACTTGACACTATAGTGTCAAGGTAATTAGTAAGATTAGTATTGTTAAATGTTATTAATAACTTTTTTATTTTGAAATGTCTTGTAAAAGTTGCTACGAAGAAAAATTTCTAATATCACGAGAAATTTTTAGATATGTTTAATTAAACAAAATTACAAATTTCTAGATAAAATTATGTCTAACTTTAGCAATGTGTAAATAATTAATTAAAATTTGCATTGCTAAGAATTATTAATTCGTGAATATTTAAGTAAAATTAAACTTTTGTCGATAAAACTATCTAGGCGAAATACCAAAAATAAATATTATACATATTTTATTCAGGGTTACTGTAACATTTATTAAAGCCAATGGAGAAAAGATAAAAGCAAAGGGAGAAATTGGAAACAATATTTTAGATATTGTTGTGAACAATGACCTTGAGTTGGATGGTTATGGTATGAACATTTTATGCAAAAATCTGTTCTCTTAATAATCGTGCACAAGTTTAATGAAGCATGTATTTTCTATCTTGAATATAGGAGCTTGTGAAGGAACATTAACGTGCAGCACTTGTCATTTAATTTTTTCTAAGGATGTGTTTGATAATCTTCCAGACAAACCTACAGAAGAAGAAATTGACATGCTGGATTTGGCACAAGAGCGAGGACCAACGTATGTTTATTTGAATTGTACTCTTTCTCTCTTTCTTGAGAAATGTTTTATATGCTAATAAAAGATCTGTACAAATGAGAGAGAGAGAGAAAGAGAAAGAGAGAGAGAGAAACAATCTCTAAATCTCACTTTGTAATGTCTCCTACATTTATTCATGAATTAGCTTCGTATACCTATACCCTTAAGGGATGATTTTGAATAAAATTTGCTTTAAGTAGGAGCCTATCAGAGTCGAACATCGCTTGATTTGTTATTCAAATTAATTGTCTCAGTCTCTTTTCTACTTCCATTATACTTTCGCATTTTTATATTTTTTTAAACATGTAGTAAACTTATTTTATTTATTTTATCAGTCAGTTATATATTTTTTTATTTGTCACTGTTTTAAATATATGTATTTAATTATAGTTCAAGATTGGGCTGTCAGATAATCATGACTGAAGAACTCGATGGCATTGAAGTAAGAGTACCAGCTACCATTAATGATGCAAGACAAACATAATAAATTCAGAGTTACTATAGATCTGAAAAACCGGGATAAATCAGGGAAATTGAAATTGATCATGGAAAACCGGGAAAAGTCAGGAGAAAGTGTAAGAAAGTCTAGAATTTCGAAATATGCTTAAAATTTTCTTAAACTGCTCTTATTCCAAATATTTGTTATAATTTTTCAAAAATTACATCTGACATTTTGTTAGATCTTGTTAAAGGTGTTTAGATAATTTTAGACGTTTTATATCTACTCTTTTAGATATTGATTCAATCTAATTATTCTTTCCAATATAATGCAACATGTTATGTATATGTATAATAGGCAAAAAATTATATTCATAGTTAGAAATTTCATTATGAATTTAATATATAAGGGAAGTTTATGGTTATGAAGTAACTGAGAAAAAATATCTAACGAATGGTTCAACTGAAAATTAAGTTATAGTAGTCTTAAATATAAGACTTTCTACAATAAGCCATTACCTACACTGTTAAAAAAAATTTGCTTCCGTTACATGTAATGGAGGCAAATTTCAAGGTACATTAAAAATATTTAATGTTGTCAATGAAAGTAAAGTAACTTAAATTTAACGTTTACTTATATTACATTTCATGCAAATCTATATAAAATTTAATAAAAAATGTACTAATCTTTGTAAAATTTTATGAAAAGTACGCTAATTTCATGTATATGTACACAAATATACTTTTCAGTTGCAGATATATTAATTTTAATGTAATGTTAAATTTAACTTGTATAACTTAAAAATATATTAAATTTCGTGATATTTTTAACAGTTCAAAATTGTATCCAAATTTTAATATTGTAAAGACAAAAATATTGTAAAGATAAATTCTTTGTGCAATATTTTTAAAATAATTGTATATGTTATATAAATATATATATATGTATAATATTTCGTATATAAAAATATGTAAAATGTTTTTACTCAAAATATTAAAATATGAGCGACGAAAATGATAAATTTTCTATTTATCACTTTTAAAAATAAACTTATTTTTTCATTCCATTTATAATTTAGAGATCGGTTGTAAATATATTTTTTTAAATCAAATGCTCTCATCAAACTTTACTTACAAAAATATTATTGAATTTGTGTTTTTATCTTTATTTTTATTTTATAAGAATATATTGAGATATCCAAATAAATATTTTAATCAAGAAAGAAATCAAAGAAGCAAAAGTTTTGCAAGTAACTTTAACTATTCTCGTAGTTCACAATCAACCCAAATGAAAAACATTCATTTTTACAAATCAGTGAGATGTAAAATGTAAACATGTGTTGATAATTTATATATAGGGAGTATTAATTTATACTATCTAATACTAATAAATACGATTTAACAATAATAATGAAATATCGATAGAAAAATACTTGATAAGCAATCAGAAAGACTTAAATCACATTTACATTATGATTGAAATAATTTATACATAATTTGATTCGTAGTACATATCCAGAATAATTTATTTTTTCTTTTTTTAATTAATTACATATCAAATACATCTAATGTTACATAACTATCAGTACATAAAGCTAAAACACTTTTGTACTATGTGCGTTATATATATATATGAATCCAACAAATAACTTACATGATAAGTTACATGCTTCACTACTTCCAAATGTACTTATTACTATACTACTTACAAACGCAGTGAAGTGTATACATGTATGTTACTACATAATTTACATTATTTTCAACTTCTCTCTTACCCTGCCCATTTATTAAATTACATCTCCGATTTCTAGAATATATCGTATATATTCTTGCGTTATATATGTACATATATGTTTAATCGAATTGTCTTTCGGTTTACTTAAATGTTATAATAGTGAAAGTTCATTAAGTTTCTTGTTTCGAATTTGTAATTCAATTGATAGAGCTAGACAGTAGATACAAGTCACGAATATTTATATATTCATGAAATAAATTTATTTAATAATTGTTTGGAATCACATAAAATAACCTACAAAGTATTTAAATAACACAAGATGATGATTAATAAAAGATTTTTAATCATTTTTTAATTCGACAAGACCGTGACTAAATGTGTAAAAATTTGCAAATACAGCAGAAGCTCCACTTTCGCGTCTTTTTTATTCTGCCCAAAACTCATTTTCATTGATACCAGTTTTCACGTTTGTGAATGCAAAATTCGGCCGCAAAAAAAGAACCATAAAGTAAAAATTTATTTTTAACATTTTTATTTTAGACAATTCTAAAAATTATCTAAAATAAATTATGCTGTCTGTGATTTTTTGGTGTATTCGTGACATCCAAGTATGAATTTCGTATATTTGGGTATCGTGATTACACATAAAAAAAAATTATATATATATGGTAATATGTTTTACAGAACACGTAATCATTGCGACTATGGAACTTCTACCGTAATATAACGTAAGATATGTTATATCATACTCATAGATTATCGAGCGTTTTTACGTAAGTCGTTACCACATGATTTGTATTATCATTCCATGCAACACACCATAAACAACATAAATTCCTTATGCTTTCTTTTTTTTTCAGTTATACTGGAAGTTAGATTCCAAATGCTTTAAATAACACAAATGTCATATGTATATATATCGCGAGGATATGGACATTAATATAAATAAAAAATAAAAATAAGATATCTTCTAAATGCTGTAGTCATTAAAACTGTTGCATAAACATGTTCAAAAATGTAGTTATTACATTTTTTTATGTTCAAGAAAATGTTTAGTATCAATAAATTGTACGAAACAATGATTTGATATTTTTGGATTTAATTATTACAAAAGTTTAAAAATATATTTCAATATTTTTCAAAGAGAAAATTTTTTGTGTTGTGGGTATTCTATAATTTTTTTGAGTACTGAAACTACAATCTCTTTTAATGTGTGTGTACGTGAAAATTTTATGACCACACAGTAACGATATAAAATTATAAATCTAATTCTAAATGCACTTAAGTATAAATCCATAAAGACTTCATATCTTGATACCTTTAAATATTAAAAAAACACTGATGTATAAAGGGAACGAAATTATGGCCGGTATTCATAGTCTGTTCTTGTATTACCGATCATTTTAAGTATAATCTTAAGATGAATCAATCAGGAAGCCGTATTAGTATCTTAAGACGGTCTTAATAAGAACCGATTATGAATACCGGTCTATGTATTTGATTTATATAAATCATACAACACACATCCATTGTCTTGAAATTTGAAGAACTCATTCAGTTTTTTTCTTTTTTAGTTAATAGATTAATCAATGAACAAACGGATAAATAATGAACAATTGAATTTGCGGTTAACTGATCTGCAGTTAAATTCAGTTACACGATATTTACACTGTGTAGTAAATATCATTAAAAAAATATAAATCTAATTTTATCAGTGCGTCGAGTTCACAAATTTCAAGAATTTTATCAATCAGCTGCTCAATTATACAATAACCGGAATTCTAAAATCTTGTATTTTCATATACACATGTAAACATGAAAATAATCTAGGACTAGAGATTCTGCAAGATAAGTACAAATAATAATAATAATAAGTGAAGACATGGCAAGATTCACATTTGTGCCAATTTCTCATTTCGTTGGGATCTCTGAGGATTCGAAAATATGCACATTGTTACATATACATGTTGAAAGTACATTTCAATAATCGCGCGTAGTCGAAGATAATTGGGATTCTCGATAAGCATAAAAATATAATTCTACGCAGTTTTTGGTAAATTATATCTAATATAAAAAATAATTTTCTTAAATATATATTTTTTGTAATAAGAAACAAATCTGCAAAAAAATTATTAATATTTTATTCTTGCATAAAAAATTGCCTGAACTTTATTCAATATTCCGAGAATGTCGTAATATCGGATAACCAGAGAATCTTACGAAGCGAAATGCAACACGCATTCGATACGAGGAATCCTTTTTTTGTCGGCGTTGCGCAACAGGAACCTGTTGCTGCTGCTCATGGTGATAGCAGGATATATCAGTCGTAAATAAAGCATAAATCGGCAAGTTTTGTTCGAGGAATCGAAATGATTCCTGTATTGCATCGTGGCGAGAAATTTCTCCAAGAACACCCATTATGTACAATAAGAGTATATTTTGTACGGTTTACCCTGAACGTATTGATAAAAAATAAAGCGAAACCTGTCTGAGAAAATTGTAATTAGTAGCGATATGTAAAAAATATGTAGCTCATCAAGGCCAACAAGAACTAACGTTATCGACCAGTCATTAAATCATGTTAGCTACAATACTAGCAGGATCAAGACAGTTTGGATTCTGACTGTAGGGACTAAGAAAACTCGAAGGAAGAGAAACAAAAAATCTTGTGACTCGAGTAATACTGGTTTAATAAACCAGGCTATAAACATGGCCAGTGGCATTGAGAGTATAAATTCCAAGGCCGTCAATAATTGTCGGAATAATATGGAGGCTAGACAAACAAAGACGCTGATAAAATTTCGTCCGGTAAATTCTGATGGAACTGTTTGACATTCTTAAAATACCATATTCAAACTGATCATAAAAGCGGTTAAAATGTTATTTTGGATCATTCTGTATAGCTTCTATAGTAACAGCTGTTTCCGTTAAATAGTCCCTATTGTTAAGTTATATTAAAAACAAAAATATTAAATAATATCAGATAGTAAAAATAAATTAAAAAAATATGTATTGCTGCGGTTAGGCTTTCTTAAAAATTGTGAAAATAAATTGAAACAAATTATCTTTGTCTCACGCTTTGTTATGTCAAAGGTACATTTAGGCTGTAAATAAAGAAAATATTCACTGAACTATTCTTTTCTTACAATTCATGGAAGTGTCTTTTAATTTTTTATGAGCTTTAAATACGTTGTTTTCTAAACAAAAATAAGGGATACTTATTTTTTTGTAAGAGCCCAATCGCACTTTTAGGGAGTGCAACACTCCTTTGAAGGAAACTAGTTATTGTCTCACGAAGCGAATATTTGTAAACGATAGAAAAAAAATGTTTGAAATAAAAGTTGAATGATTTTAAGAGTGCTTAGTAACTATAATTAAAAAAATTTTTTAATTTTAATTTTTATAAATAAAAATGTGTTATGTAAACAAATTTTTTTAAATTATTATAAAGTACTTTTGGAGCCTTCTTTGAAATTCTACTTTTATTCGGAACATTTTTTTCTATCTTTTACAGTTTCGACAATATTTACTTCGAAAGAAAAAAACCGATTTTTTGTGAAGAGGCGTTGCACACCCTAAAAAAAAGTGCAAATGAATCTTTATTAAAAAATACAAGTTCCT